AAAAATCCTTGTTTGCGAGCCTTAACGAGCCGAACCAATCTCACAATACTTCATGACCTAATACCTATAAAGAAATCCATTCATAATGCAGAAGGAAAAGTCAGAACACTTCAACAATATGAATTATGATCATGACACAATTGACTGGGAATCTTTCAAAGGGTTCAAATTGATAGCTCCAAGAATTCCACCCAAGCATTTTCAATAACAAAGATAAAAAGGTTTGACAGCAACTGAACTCATCTTAGAATTGAAACAAACAAATAACATAATGATCTTAAAACAAAGGCTTTTTTCTATCTGTCAGAGCATAGATATGATCATCATATGATAAACTCAGCAGAACATCATAAGCCAAAGACTCATTTTTTTCCCAAACAAACAATCTCAAAAGAACTAAAGGAACCACCACAAAGTCAAAGACCAATCACCCCAAAGAACAACAATATATAAGTAACATTCTCAACAAATAATGCAACTCAAGAAAAGCAGCCCCAGAATCTGCACAAGTAACTTTAATTACTTCTGAATCAATTTGGATCATCCATTAGTTACACGAGTAATTTTACAACATCTTTTCGAAACGATAACAATCGAAAAAGAATTAACTGCCCCAACCCAACTCAAATCCCTTCACCGCAACAACCAAGAATCCTTAAACTGTTCAAAAGCACCATGCCTCAAATTATTCACCCTGATCAAACAAAAGTAGGTGCAGAATCCCAAACCCATCCCTGCACACACCCTATTGGTCTTAAGCAAATAACAAGCTGGGCTGCACTTAACCCCTTTACCTTGAATCACTATGCCCCAAACCCTACTCACACCCTCCCCAAATTCTTGGCCCAAATCATCTTGATGATCATAATCTTGCCCCAACTCCTCCACAAAGATCAGCCCATCAGGTGATTTTGACTCCTCATTTATCCACTCGCCCTTCAAAACAGCCCAATTATCCAAAAGGGCCTTATCCGTTTGGATCCTCACCTTCCCATTTTCGTTTTCTGAATAAACCTGCACCAATAAAGGCGCCTTTTTTAGGTTTCCCACGATTTCAGAAACAGATCCACGCAGCCAAGAATCGATCTTTTCCAGAAAAACCCCGTCTTTGGCTTCGGAATCGTGAACCGGGGAAAGGGTCGAGCTCGACGAGGCGAGTGGAATTTGTGGGCTCTTTCTGGTTCTGTTGGGGGCGGATAAAAATGGAGTCTTTGAGGAAAAACTCCGACCCGATTTGTTTCCCGGGAAGAAAGATGGGTTTGATAAGTTAGCTCCTGAGGAGTGAATCCCAATAGACGCCATCTTCGTTAAAAAAGAAAAAGAAAAAAGGATGGCGATTTTTTGGGGAAGATGATGTTAGGAAGAGTGTTGAAAAAAAATATGGTTTTGGGTTTTTCCAATGGGATTTGGTGAAAAATGAAAGAAAGAAAGAAAGAACGAGGAAATCAGAAAATAGGGATTTCAAATTCTGAGAGACAACCTATATAAAAGATAAGGGAATTTTAGGTCCCGTTACAGAACTATTCTGTCGGAATTTGTAACCGTCACAACAATTAAATGATGATCTAATAATTACAAATTCCGATAAAATGATTTCATACCTAAAATTTAAATGAATTTATTGCCCTACTTATGGGAGATAAAATATTTGGCCATGTTTTTTGTGTTTGCGTTGCTTATTGACGACTATTGGTGTTCCTTGATTCCTCTCTTTT